AAACATACGCGACGCAACAGAATAAACAAAATGAAAACTATATTTTTTGAAAATCACCGGATCGTGACAAAAATTTCGGTTCACCTACAATCAGGTGTATAGCAATTTTCGAAAAAAAGAAACCGTGAATTCGCATAAACATCTGCAATCTGACCGTAAGATACGGCGGATAGAACAGCGTCGAGAGAGAAACCGCTCGAAAAACGGCGGATCGTGTGCACACGGTTGCTCATGTTTTATTTATTCCTCCGCAGCGGCATGGATCCGGCCACGAAGGATCTGGTCGCGAAAACGATAAGACGCATGACGAAGAACCAGAGCTGCGTAATCCTGACCTCGCACAGCGTGGCCGAGTGCGAGAATTTGTGCAACCGTGTCGGCATCCTCGCCAAGGCTGGCCTCAGGTGCATCGGAACGCCGCAGCACCTTAAACACAAGTAAGCCCCCGCCGGACTTTTCAACAAATTCTTGCATGGTTAATACGGCCCGTTGCACTCTGTCGCGCGGCAGAAAAGAATTCCGATGCTTGGCAGACGTCGAGTGGATCGACGATGATCGGACGAATTAATTTCGCGAGATATCCGTCGTTTTCGCATCAGCGAATTGAGCCGTTTATTTTGAAAGTGGCATAATGAAAAGTGGTGATTTTTTAATGTTTATACGAAATTATTTATATTGAGAAAAATGTCAGTATCCTGAGATAACGAATACAAGTAAATCTTCTCGAAAGTTAGCATCCATATTTTTAAACGTGTTAAAACGCAAACCCTTAAATATATATATATAGTCGATATATACTTAATATATATACTTATATAATACTTAACTATATAATATATATACTTAAGTCGATATATATACTAACTATATATATCGACTTAAAAACAAAGTGACTTATGCCACTTTCAAAATAAACGGCTCAATTCTTCGGTCGTTTCTTCCGCGCGCGGTTTGCGAATAATCCTTCGCTGTCGCGCTGGGTTAGAATGACCCACGTTTTATTTTATACTGAAATAATAATGTGATAATAGTAATATTTATTTGATTAACGGGAGCAAGTCGCTGCGTTACAACGGTGCGACATTAAATCGCGCAGGAAGCGAGTTCAAAGAAATAAAGAAAAAATGAAAGAGCGAGATTAACAATTGATTAAAAATATATAGTAAATTCTGCTTAATTTTCCTTCAGCTTGCGAACAAAACTGGACAATTTGCGAAGAAAAATGAGCCGCGAGGCTCGATTAATCGTATCTCCTCTTACCCCAAATTGTCAATTTTTTCTTTGTACTTGGAAGCGAGATATCGAGTTCTAATAAAGGAAACGATGCTCTAGAACAGGGCCAAATAAACAATGCTTAACTTTAGGTGGGCCGCAAAAAAGAAAAATCAATGTTCATAGAAACAAATATTTTTATTTTGACTAGTACATTGTAATAAACATATATAAAGTTAAATTATTGTTTACGTCCTGATACTTGACATCAAAAATGTTCATCTCGGGCCGCGAGTTTGACACCCCTGCTCTAGAATGATCAAATTACATTCTCAAATTTTTGGGTCTCAATAGCGTCGCCAGTTTTTCGGCGACAATCTTTTCAAAAATTATATGACACGCCTGCTTCGTACAGGAAGTGGTAACAGCGAATGAAAAAAATTGAAACAAAATAAAGACAATAAATTAATAATAATAAATAATAAAAATAATAAATATAATATAAATAATTATATATAATATAATATAAATAATAATAATAAATAATAAACAATAAAAAATAAACAAAATAAATTAAATAGAAAGATTCGATACGTCCTATTCGATAAATACGAAGTTAATTGTGCTTGAAAATAAACTGAAAAAGGCACGGTGGTAATCGACAATCGCTCTCATTAACTGGGAAAAATCAGAAAATTCGCTCGCAACGAGCGGCAACGACAAGCGCGATAAAAAGCACCGCGCGTTCGTTTCACCGAAAATCTTTCAATGACGCATTGTTCGAGGTATTAAATAACCCGGTAGGCGGGCACATTGTCTCGGCGCGGTCGCCGAAACGGCTGGGCGAATTACGAATCGATCAAAAAGGCTCGATTCGATATTAACGCGACGTTAACAATTGCAGCAAATCGTTCAAATATTCCAGTCGAATATGCAGTCGGCCGACATCCGACCGGGATTAATTTTAACCGGTGCATTTTAATGACGTTGTTTCTACTGATGGATTGTTCGTGTCGGTCGGATGCACCATCCCCGCCCCCTCCGCCATCCGGCACCCATCCCCCGCGCCGCGGCTCGTTCTGACTCGGTTGTTCGCATAGACTTCCCGGCGAAAATTCGTCGCGCGACAATTTATTCGACGCCCGGCCGGTCGTCCGATTGATTTTTCATTCTGTCCGTCATTTTCCCGAAACAACGGCTCCTGTCGGCCGGCTGCGTGCAACTGCAGATTACGTTCGGTAATTACAAGGTCTTTGCAATCGCACCCTCCCCACCCCGTAAACGGCATGCCATCCCGTGTCGTTTTTCCAACGGCAACTTTCACCGACCCGCGTCCTCCCGAATTCATCAATTTTCTTCGTTTCGATGCTCGATGACAGCGTAATTAACCTTTTAGGCACGACGCGCCACTATAGTGACTTCCGTGGATGTCATCTCTCTGAACGACGCGCCACTATAGTGGCTTTCGCGGATGTCATCTCTCTGGACGACGCGCCACTATAGTGGCTTGCTCTAGTAGCTCACTCGCTCATCGTTTGTACCAAATAATCGTCTTCATATGCATTGTTTCACACTTCTTTTGTCTTCACATCGATTTACAACAGTCTACAGGGTGTCCCAAAAATGTCTCGCAATCCAGAAATGGCGGGTTCCTCGGATCATTCGAAGCAACTTCTTCCTTTACAAACATTTTCTCCGAGGCACCGTTAACGAGTTATCAACGAAAAACAGTGACCAATAAGAATCGAGTACGGCTGACGCGAGACGGCCCAACCAATGCCTCTCATTGGTCGCTGTTTTTCGTTAATAACTCGTTAACGGTGCCTCGGAGAAAATTTTTGTAAAGGAAAAAGTTGCTTCAAATGGCTCGAGGAACCCACCACTTTCGGATTGCGAAACATTTTTGGGACATCCTGTATATACAGACAGAATGTACAGTATCAGACTCTGTACAGTACATATCAGACTCTGCCGTCCAGAGAAATAGCCTCGCGCAGAATTCAGCCGTACCTAAAAGGTTAAAGCATCGCTGATTCCCGGTGCAACAATCGCCGGTCTTCGAACAGCCGTAACTCCGTTCAAAGTTTTCACAAAACGACGAAATGTCTCTTAAATCGAAGCTTGAAATCTTTACTTTACGACACCGTATTCGAATCGTTAATATCACGCGCTACCATGGCTGTAGTATGCTAGATCCGAGGACATGTTCGCGATATCGAAAATGCGCGAAGTTTAACGCACCCTTTAGACTTGAAAATCTATGCGAGAAAAAATCGCAGCGACTTGAACTGGCCCTCGAATGAAAGAGGAAGGTCCGAACTTTACGACGCTGTGAACGATATGACGGAAAAAAATTGTTGCAGCTCCGTAGAGGACGTTGAACCTTGCGCTTTCTCGGCGTCACAAACACCCTCCTCGGATTTAAGGGAGACTACAGTCTCTTAAAACTGCAGTCAGAGGGTGATATTAAAAATTAGAATACAGTGTCGTAAAGTAGAGATTCCGTGCTTCAATCTAAACAGGAAAACCTCGCAATTAAGATAAGGTAAACGTCTGCCGCGTCGAGACCGACAGGAGAGGCCAATAAAAGACTGCAAGAAACATCTCGAAAAATATGTTTCGGAAAAATTGCGGTGTAAAGCAGAAACTTGTTATGAACATCGTGGATGGTACGAAACGCGAGAATGGCCCGCGGTCCGATGGTTAAAGAGCAAAAAAGGCGAACGTTCGCCCGGAGGAACGTACGCGGGGTTCGAAAGTTCGCTGCCACCAGGGACAACCTCGCACGCGTGAAACGCGATAAGAAACGAGACGACCCGCGGGATGACCTAATATTTGACTCGCCGCGCAGCCCGTTGCCATCACGGGGCTGAAATGTCCCTGTTACGTCCTTCTTTCCCGCCCTCCGGCCTCTCCGCGGCCGCGGGGCGATCGAACGCCGCCGGATTTACGATATCTCGCGCACGTGCGCGGCCTGCACCCGTCGCACCCATCGCGCTCGCCGCAGCCGCGCGATCCATCCGCGACCCGGAAGCGAGCCGGCTCGATCGCAAGAAACGATCCGCCGAGGGTTTTTTCGTATCGCTGGATAAACGACGCGATATCCCCGCGGATGTATGAAATACTGGGCGCAATATCGCGCTGCCAAAGGACACCGTAAACTTCGTTTATGAGCACGGCTCGCGGAAACTCGATTCGAACTTCTGCGGCATCCACGCGATTGCTGTTTCATCCGGGGGGAACCTTCTATTTTACGTCGCTCCGTTTTTTTCTTTTTTCGCACGGAGGATCCTCTGAAACACGGCGAGTTTTTCGCTTATTGGAGCCCTTTGACGGCCGAAACAGCGCCGATAACTGCGCCGTTCGCGCGCGCACCGCTCGCTCGTTGCCATTTGCCGGCGCAATTCGGCTCGTTCCTCTCTGAGAATTATTGTAGCACCGAGTCCCGGTTGGTCGAGCTTTAAAACTCGCACCTTTGATCTTTGGAACTCTTTCTATCGTCCAAGTTGTCTTCCCGAAAGTTGTGCCTCTTCTTCTTCTTCTTCGTCGTCGTCGTCGTCGTTTCGTATCTTTGCTCTTCGCCCGCGGATTTTATTGAGCTGCCTGCACCGAAAGCTTCACTGCTCCACTCTTCTTCGTATCTTCCATCGTTTCGAAGCATTTAACGAAAGCAGATCATGCCGGGAACAGACGCAGTTTTATTCTCAAGCTTCCTCGTTTCGTCACTTCGTTCATTGTCGAATTTTCGTTCATTCGGCATCCATAATCGTTATTAGACTGCGGTTTTTTTGGGTATTTAAAACATTTGGGTATTTATATTTTGGGTATTTAAACAAAGAGTATTCAAAGTACAGTAATGTCTCCTTTACTGACGCTCAGATTGTCCACTAAAATGGATAATTTGGGAAAGAGGAGATACGACTATTCGAGCTTTATGGCTCATTTTTATAATTGTGGACAATTTATAACTATAAAAATAAACCGCAAGGCTCGAATAATCGTGTCTCCTCTTCTCAAATTGTCCATTTTTTTGGACAATCCGAGCGTCAGTTAGGGAGACATTACTATATTATAAAGATAAACTCCGCGAGGAATCATCGTAGACTGCAAGGGTTACTTTAAAGTTCTGTAACTTCGCGAACAAAAATCGCAGCCAAGTTTCTCTTTTTTTAAATGAAAGGAGAAGGATCGAACTTCGTTCCACGGTAAACGGCATCTCCGGAAAAAATTGTACAAAGTTCGTGCATTTCGTCAAACTTGGTAAGATCAAGATTTTCAATGTGACAAACATGAGTTCGCATTCGAAGCGTTGCGACAGCGAGGGAGTATCGAATTTAGAATCCAGAAACAGCGTCTTAAAGTAAAGGTTTCAAGCTTCGATTTAGAAAAAGAATCATCGTCCTACGATAATTTTCGGCGGAGTAATCGTCGATCGAAGTTGGCCGATCTTTCTATCAAAAATTTCTCTACGTTATAATCTTCTCGAGCAGTGTACGGTAATGTCTCCCCAACTGACGCTCAAATTGTGCACAAAAATGGACAATTTCAGAAGAGTAGATACGGTTATTCGAGCCTTGCAGCTCGTTTTTATAGTTGTTGACAATTCGAAAGCATAAAAACGAACCGCAAGCCTCGAATAATGGTATCTCTTCTTCCTCTTTGTGATCAATCTGGGCGTCAATTAGAGAGACATTGCTGTAAACTGAGCGTCAATTAGAGAGACATTACTGTGTAAAGTTCCAAAATATTCAGCATCGAATCGTCGAGATCCCGGTAGGTTTCGAAGAAGGGGATCGGTTTAGAAAAAAAAAAATGCGGTTCGGATAAATGGAGTTCCACGGGTATAATTCGATCGGGGGCGTCTTCTTCTCTGAAGCCTGAAAGTGTTCCACTTAGGGGTCGCACGACCGACCGGCCGGTCAGAATTTCGCGATTTAACTCGGCGGCCCTTTGACCGTCCCTCTGTCGCAAATGGCCATGCAAATTTACGGAGGAGGCGGATGAGGAAGGGTAGGAGGAGGAGGAGGTGGTGGCGCCGCGCGCAGCCTGTCCTTTCCCACGGCATAATTTATCGGAGCTGATGCGCGTGTACCGATGTAAATGAATACGAATAGACGGATCTGCCGGTGAACAAGCGGGCCGTGATAAATATTTGTTACCAGCCGTGAACCAGCGCCCTTCGTTACCACCGGGCGCACCGGCTTCGCCGGTCTACTTTCTACCTCTTCTTTATTAGGGTCGCGCGACGGCACAGGCTCCAACGGGACGCGCTTTGCTACTCGCTAGACGAGAGAGCTCGAGGATAATGTTCCCTTCGCCTCGACCCCACTCGGGCTCGAGTGCTCTCCGCATTTTTCACCGCTGCTCGCGCTAATTTCGCTTATAATATCATCTTAACGCTTCGATCGAGTCCCCCCGCCCTTCCTTCCTTCTCGTTCCTCGAAAATCCCGCGTTCGTTTGCGTTTCAGCTGCGACAACCGTTCTCCAGAAGCTGCTGCAAGTTGATACAGTTTTCCGCGCGGGGTGTCCCTTCGTTCGCGATTAAAATGTACAGCGATTGCTGTCGAATCGAGTTGCGCGATACATTTAAACGCTGCACAAAAGGGGAGCAATGTTCGATTTTTTATGCCCGCAAGGGGCGAAAGAATAGTGGAATTATTTGATCTTGTGTCCCAGTCGAGATCGTTACGTGTATCAAAATTCTTCCTGTCGATGTTTATCGGATAGATGTTATTCGGATTATTAGATATTATTATTAGATATACGTTATCTTTGCTACTTCTGCATCGTTAATTTTTCTTCAAATTACCCTTTTTGCCTTCGAATTATTCGTGATATCATCTGCGAAATACCTTTATTTATTTTGTTACAATTATGTTACGCGAAATAATATATTATGTTATAAATAGATATTAGGTATAATATACAATCATAATATAATATAATAATAATATATAAAATGATATAATATATTTTCTTCAAATTATCCTTTCTGCCTTTGAATTATATGTAATATCATCTGCGAAATACCTTTATTTATTTATGTTACAATTATATTATACGAAATAATATATTATCTTATAAATAGATATTAGGTATAATATACAATCATAATATATATTATTTTTATGTATATATAAATTAAACTATCATTAATTATTTTATTAAAATAGTATATTATTTTATACATATTGTTATATTATATAATAATAATATATAAAATAATATAATATATTATTTTTATGTATACATAAATTAAATTATCATTAATTACTTTAATAAAATATAATATATTATTCTATATATATTATTATGTTATATTATATTCTTATTGTACATTATATATATATATATATATATATATATATATAATATCTATTTACTTTTAATATAATATCTATTCTTATTTCTCTATATAGAGAATATTAGATAAATNAAGAATTTCAACAAGAGCAAGAACTGAAATGTAAATTGCGAATGTACAAGATACGGTGTGACGAGACGACATTCGCAGTCCCGAACAGCTGAATACGATAAATAACCTAACCTTGACATAAACTGAACGAGAATAAAAATCGTACCTTGCTGAACGTTCGCAGGTTCGGCGAGGGCTACGTGGCGTTCCTGCGGTTCCGACGGCCGGTGTCCTCCGCGGAGCTGAAGAAAGCCCTCGACAAGTACCTTCCGCAGGCTGCGGTGTCCTCGAGACAGGCGACGGCGGCTCGTTTGATGCTACCGCGTAGCCAGGACATGCTGCTCAGCACCAGCTTTAATAAGGTGAAACTGTTGGCCGAGGAACTTAAGGCCAGCGACTACACGCTCAGCCAAAGTTCGTTGGATCAGGTTAGTGCGCAACAACAATGATTTTAATACACGTGCAACGATAATGGTTTCACGCAGAGAAACGTCTCGGAGGCAGCCGAGACGTGTTCGAACATCGGAAACCAAAGAAAACGCATAGAATCGATGAAAATTTATATTATTATTTAATTTCGGAGACGCCGTTGCTGCCAAACTGAACGAAACTTTTTGGGGATGTTCACTGCGTCCTACGCCATTTTGCCGCGTATATCTGAATGAAATGCGAATGAAAAGTTGAACTTCGATTCGAACGTTTTCCTCTTTCCGTTTATTCTGAGAAAAATCGTGGGGTATTATCGCGGACGCCCCAAATACTGCGGTATTTTACGAAAGCAACAAAATCTAATATTTTACAGCGTGTAATCTCCTAGAAATGTATCTCATAATTTTTTACACGTTTAATATTGACAATTTATGAAATGCAAGTAACAGCAATTGCAGGTTTAATTTATTTATCGAATAACGCCGGATGCGAATGCTGACTCGAATGGTATTTTGGTGATTAATAGTAAGCTATTCGTTTCAGCGTTATCTTTAGATAAAGTTATCTCAGATAATGCCGAACTATCTAAATGAAATCCAAATGAAAAGTAGAACTTCGATTCGTACCTTCTTCCTCTTTTCTTTCACAGTAATGTCTCCCTTACTGACGCTCAGATTGTCCACTAAAATGGATAATTTGGGAAGAGGAGATACGATTATTCGAGCCTTGCGCCGCTCGTTCTTATAATTGTGGACAATTAATAATTATAAAAATAAACCGCATGGCTCGTATAATCGTATCTCCTCTTCCCAAATTGTCCATTTTTTTGGACAATCCGAGCGTCAGTTAGGGAGACATTACTATATTATAAAGATAAACTCCGCGAGGAATCATCGTAGACTGCAAGGGTTACTTTAAAGTTCTGTAACTTCGCGAACAAAAATCGCAGCCAAGTTTTTCTTTTTTCAAATGAAAGGAGAAGGATCGAACTTCGTTCCACGGTAAACGGCATCTCCGGAAAAAATTGTACAAAGTTCGTGCATTTCATCAAACTTGGCAAGATCAAGATTTTCAATGTGACAAACATGAGTTCGCATTCGAAGGGTTGCAACGGCGAAGGAGTATCGAATTTAGAATCCAGAAACAGCGTCTTAAAGTAAAGGTTTCAAGCTTCGATTTAGAAAAAGAATCATCGTCCTACGATGATTTTCGGCGGAGTTATCGTCGATCGAAGTTGGCCGTTCTTTTTATCGAAAATTTCTCTACGTTATAATCTTCCCGAGCAGTGTACAGTAATGTCTCCCTAACTGACGCTCAAATCGTGCCCAAAAATGGATAATTTGGGAAGAGGAGACACGATTATTCGAGCCTTGCGGTTTATTTTTATAGTTATAAACTGTCCACAATGATAAAAACGAGCCGCAAGGTTCAAATAATCGTATCTCCTTTCCCCAGATTGTCCATTTTCGTGCGCAATCTGGGCGTCAATTAGAGAGACATTATTGTATTCCGAGAAAATTCGTGCCTCGACGATCGTAAGTATCGACGCGCAAGGATCTCGAATTCGAGCGAGGATTCGAGAAATTTCCGAACAAATCCAACCGTCCCGAATTCCGGCCGATCGAGTTCTCGCGTCAGAGTCAGTCTACGTTTCGGCGATCGAAATTAATGCTCGATCGGCGGCGGCGTCTATTGTATATAAACGATAACGTTGAGCCAGGAGCGGCGGTGACAGCGAGTACGGTCGAAGGGCAATTCCGAACAAACGTTTCGAATCAAACGGGAATCGATGAAGTTCTGTCCGCGCAATATACCACGGGCCCTTGTCTCGAACAGATGATGCACTGCCGGCGCAGGCTGGCTCCATCTCGCTCGACCAACGACGATCCTCGTTTACGTCCCAGGCTAGCCCTGAGGAATATTAATGGATCCCGGGGCCGTCTTACGGTTCACACTTCTGTACAGCCGGTGTGGAGCAGGGTTCACGGCCGGCTAGGCAACCGGGCAGCACCGTCCGCGCTCTCCTAAGCTCGCCTAAACGCTTTCCGATTCGCCGTATCGCCGGCCGGCCCCCGGAGTTCGACTCCGACAAAACTGTGTTCCGTAATTAATTACTCCTCGGGAACGATTTCATTCGGCTCGGGCAACGAAGCAACTTTTCGTGCCACTGAATCCCCGCCAGGAGGAACACGCTCGCGAAGGGACGCCGGTGGGCCGAGTGCCGCCCCCTGGTTACTGTGCCCTCGCAACAATTTTTCTTTCCATTTTGATCTAATTTATTTCATGTCGCGTCTGCTTAATGGCAATTAGTGTGGATAACATGCGCCATTTGGACCACTTGTGAGATAATATAATAATGTTGCGAATTACACCATTTCTCTCGCGTCGCGGCATTTTATTTACAATAGAGAATATTAACTATAACACAATTCGATACAATAACAATTTAGATCTTTCAGAAGTGGGATGCTGATCGTTCGACGGTCCGATCTCGACTCTCCGATTGTCCGTTGATAACACACCTCCGTGGCAGCCCCTATCTTCTATTATTCTTTAAGGAGTTGTTCGCAACAGGGCAGTTTCACATTACAGCGACTTGATTTGGACAAGTCGCCGTAACAATAAGATAGTAATAGTAATTGTGATTAGATAGTAATTGTGAGATAATAAGATATGTATAGTAATGTCTCCCTAACCGACGCTCGGATTGTCCACGAAAATGGACAATTTGGGAAGAGGAGATGCGATTGTTCAAGCCTTTTGGCTCGTTTTTATAGTTACCGATTGCCAATAACTATAAAAACGGGCCGAAAGGCTCGAATAATTGTATCGTTCTCTTCTTTAAAAAAAAAAAAATAGTTATTCCGTCTTGAACAGTTATTCCGAACAGTAATGCGGGTCGCTGCGGCGTGATCTACGGATCGATTCAATCGAAAGGATCCAGCGGCGTGTATTCGCGGCGAACCGATCCGGAACGAACGGAAACAGCGAACAACGGCAACGATCGCGGCTGCGGCTGCGGCGCGGCGCGGCGGATCCGTCGCGTTTTTCAAACGTTATCGGCGACGGCCGGGATAACGCGGCCGCGATGGCGGAGATAATTAAAGGAAAATAGAAAGATAACTGGACCGAAGTCGATCGGCCCGGGGAAACGAAGAATCGTTAAATCGCGGAACACGGGAGAATATTAATTAAGCGGGCCGCGATACGGGCCGGTCGAATAATAATTCGGTATCTCGCCGGGATATTATGAAAACGGCTGAATAATCCAGCCTGGGTATTATTTTCCGCCATCGGTGCGCGCCGATGGTTTCCTGTTTATTCGGCCGGTATACCGGCCGACCATAATCAAGCGGTCGTTAAATTATACTCTAATTACCACTATCGTAACATTTACATTCCCGATCACTTGATATTCCACTTCCCGGCGAAAATATTTTGCCGCCGAAGATCCACCCTCGAAATTCGGTTTTGATAAGTCGCGTTCGGGCTGATCAGCTTTTGCAATCTAATTTAATAATAATAAAAAACATCGTAATAATAATAATAATCATTTTTTTGTGTTTATTATTATATATACAATGATAAACACAAAAAAATTATTATTATTATTATTATTATTATTACGATGTTTATATATATATATATATTATTATATATATAATTATAATATATTATTATATATTATTATTTATTATAAGAAACCAAATCGTTCAGCGAAATTATATAGTAACTAAAGAAGCTTGAATCAAACAAATAATATAAAAATCGAACGCAAAGCTATTACAGTATTATAAAACTATTACTATTATGTCTCCCTAATTGACGCTCGGTTTGCGCAGAAAAATGGACAATTTGGGAACAGGAGTTACAGGAGTTGACGATTCGTGACTATAAAAATGAACCGCAAGGATCGAATAATCGTCTCTCTTCTCCATAAATTGTCCATCTTTGTGGACGATCCGAGCGACAATTACAGAGACATTACTGTATTAAACGTCAAAGGACGCGTATCTCCAAAGCCTGTCCTCGTCGCGCCGCGCGCAACGATCGCGGTAACAAGTCGCCTTCGGATAAACCGTCGCGCTTTAAACTCGCCGTCAGAGAGGGGAGGGGGGAGAGGAGGAGGCCGAATAATTTTCCGAGTCCCTCGGCCGATAGAAAGAGCGCCTTAATCTAAAGTTTTCTAATCAACGAGTTCGACTAACACGTAGCCTAAGGAGGCTCGCCGATTAAAAGTGCCGGGTCGCCGCGAAGAAATGGTTCGGGCCGCGGCCCGGCCTCCGATCGACGACGATTAATTGCACCCGGAGGTGTTCGGGATTGGTTATTAAAGGCGAATTCTGGGTTCGGGGCCCCGGGGCGAGCCGAGCCGGGGGTTCGCGCGGGGGCCGGGGGGATCCTCCAGTCGGTTGGTTAGCAACGAGCAGTCTCCGTGCCGAGTTAATCCCCGGGGATCAGCTTTGTGTACGGGTAAACATAACCGGATCAGCAAGTCCCGCGACAGCCACGCGGCCGTACACGCTCCGGAATCTTATCTCCATTAAGGAGACGCGAGACGCGAACAAACGATGCGAACGTGATTCCATTGAATGCGTCCAGAACTACTCTCGCGGTATCTCGCGATTGCACCGCGACGCCCGAGAGTCTCCTGCGATCGCTCCTCCGTGAATTGCTTACCGTCCTTCAAAAATATCCCATCGATTGTTTCCTCGGCTCGATCAGTGCGATCGTGGTTTGCCGCTTCGATGTCCGCGTTGGTCTGCGACTCTTCTGATATAATCTCCCTGGCGTCGATACGTTGGCGTTCTTAGCTGAAACTTCTTCTTATTTATTAATTTGATGCTTGTGGAGGTATAGTAGTTTCCTTCTGGATTGACAAATTTCGAATTTTATTGTAGTTGTTCTGCGCCTATGGAATTTATTGCTACGACGATGCTAGTACGATTATTCGAGTCTTGCGACTCGGTTTTATTGGTAGAGTTATTTCTCCTGGAAA